TTAATTGGGAGCACATACAGTCAACTTCAACTCATCTAGCAAGGTAAAAGGCGTAAAAATAATGAGCGACCCGATTTTCGTGGGCAAAAGCTCGATGCATTACTCTACACTGAAAGGTGCACGCTACCGTAATCCTAAATTCGGCCGCCGAGTTTTTGAAGTTTCTTTCCCTTTTCAAGCGTTCTTCTACCGTGTTTTTGTTGTTTTTCGCATTCCACTACTTGGAGAGTGATAAAGAGATTTGTGAGCCAGGGGTTGCACAGAGACCGCAGGGAGGTGTGACTGTCAGGGAGCGATTTTGTTTATGGTGTTCTTGAGGACTCTTCTTGCTTTTTTTCTTCTTTGGGGAATTACTTATCAGCTACTGTTTCATAATTGAAAAGCAACTATCCATGACACTTCCATCGCGGAAGCTGTCTTTATGGTTAGTCAACCATATAAAGAAGCTCCCAAAGGGGTGCTGCTAAATTCTGCAGACCTGACACCCGGTCATGCAAATTGGTTCAAAATCTATAAACTAGTTCAAAACCTACTCTTTCGCATACCTGGCCACTTAAGGGCACCGTAAATACTTTGCGGCCGGTAGAATAGCAAGAACAGTGATTCAGTACTGTAGGAAACTGTGCGCCAATGGAAGGATAAGTATCGATCGGGCGAATGGAATGGAGAATAGAAGAATCGGTGACTCAACGCTATGAAAGAAAGCACCAAAGCAGTGAAAGGGGTCTGATCGACTCCGACCACTGACGCACTTTCTTAACACTCGCAATCTCCATTCCTTCCAAGACGCAGCTACCGGAGTCAATTGACACTCATCAACCCCTTTGGCGCACTTCTCCTGGAACGTCAAATGCCGATTCTCTGATCCTTCGAGTCGCCAGGTCGACGTGGGTTAGTGGCAATAAGCGTCGCTGCGACATGTGTGATCTGTAAATCCTTGCCAAATCTTATCCATTTCCATCACACCTCATCCCTCCGTGGTAGGCTAACTAGTACAAAAATCGCGCGCGTATGTGACGATCCTGGCGTAAGCCACCGCGGTGATGGGCGTGGCGTGCGACGCCGCGGACCTTTGCATACGAGCTGTGTTGTTCCATGGCTCCATCAAATTACTGAAGAGGTCCACCTCGCTGCTACTGTTTGGGGCGTGCTGTGAACAAGAGCAAATTACTTATTCTAACAAAAACTCGTGTCGATAAGGTACTGCAACGCTAATTTCGACGCGCGGCGACTCGCAGCGCGCGACGTGGGTGGTGCAACTTGGTTAGCACAGATAATCTCCGCCGCCCCTATTGCAGGACCGTGTGCGAATCAAAAATCACACTATGCTTCTGCATAGATGTCGGATAGATGGCGCATTCCAAAAGGGACTAGTTTACGTTCACCACAGCACTACTATAAACAAGTTGAGTTTTTAATGTAATGAATGGGATAACAAGTGGATCCCATTTAGTAGATTAGAATAGATTACAAACAATCCTCAAACCTGCACAAGAAAGTTTAGTGTCCTACCCACGGGGGAGGACACTTGGAGACACAAACAAAATATTAAACAATAAAAAATAACTTGCCCACCTCGAAAAAGTTTTCAAAAACTTGCGGATATTCTTCAGCCATTTCACGACACACATCAAGTATTGGGAAGAAGACCAGATGTGAATTAGAGAAGTCGAGAAACTCCGAGATAATTCTCAGGACACTCTAAAAGCAAAAATAGTCTTTTGATGGCAACTTTTCAGAAATATTTTGGGACCGTACCGTAGCGAATTGATTTGACAGATGAATCCTTTTCGACTTCAACTCAACCAGCGCATAATGTAGTGCAGAGACGAAGATCGCTTGTTCCTCTTCGGCAACTGGTCTTGCACATTTCACTTGAGTTTCTGTCCATTTCACGAACCTTAATTGTGGACCTGGGTGTTTTCTTATATAGGAACGGCAATGTAATTAATGGACCGTCAAATCCCCAAGCAGACAGTTTTGTTTTTATTGCAACCTCAGAAACATTCAATTTCAAGGGATTTCATCAAAATGAGGATATTATCGGCACCACGCATCCCTTATTGGCTCATTTTTGGGAATTCAGGACAGTTCCCACTGAAATTTCGCCAGGGTAAATTTGGCCAGAACTTCGCCTCAGGGGTATTCCGCCCCTGAACAGGAATACAACGTTCGAAGCGACCATGTATAGAGACCGCGCCACAAGCCACTTTTGGCGTCGTAGCGGATGTGATATCTCTGTTCAGGCTGTCAGACTACTTTCGGAGACTAAATTCCGACTCAACCTAGCGCGAGGAGGAATTTCAATCAGCATCTGACTTCAATTGCTGTGAAGGTAAAAGATAAGGCTGCGTTCATACTTCGTTTTCCGATCGCGCGATCCAAATGATGGGATTGCGAAATATGAACGGGCTCTCACAAAATCAGACAATGCTGATACAGTCACCGTCTTTTCAAGCCCACAATCTGAAGGAAGCCTTGAGGTGGAGTTGCGGAACTACCTTATGCACAGCAAGACTTCACTTCACCTAGGGATCCTTCCCTCACGTGTTCATGCAAAAATCCTCACCTCCCTTATGGCATTTCCACTTTCCGCAGGAAGCCCGCTGAACACCCTTGACACTGGTTGCGCCACATTTTGCTTTTTATACTCAATTTTGGAGAAAAAAAACGTTCTCTCAGATGGCCAAAACCGCTCGACTTGCAATCCCGTTCCCAAGAACAAAGTAGCGAACGTTTGTTCCAGTCAGCAGCATTTTTCGTAGGAGAAACATATGGGGTGGTACGAACTCACTCGTCAAATTCATCAGAGATGCTCGCTCCTATCATGCCAGCTATCCGCCCACACCACTTCTTCACCTCCAAACTGCCATATTTTGGATGGATAACTGCGGCTAACTCTCCAAGAATATCCTTCTTATCATTTTTGATATCCTAAAAATTCATTAATTGCATCCGTTCATAAAATGCGAACAACTTAGTAACCTCACATTGATGTCATAATCGGAACACGTTAATCCTCTGTAAAGTTCATGGCACGCTTGAATCCGAACGTCTTTCGAGACCTTGTCTTTAGTGTTTATCTGAAAAATCGTATGCAGTCCAGGGAAACCAGTAGATCAAAAATGGTGCTCGTCCACTATAGGTCCGCAACCTGGTTCGTTACGTGTTGGGACATGTTGGTGACACACTGCTGACGTGGAAGGGGGGGGGGGCGAGGGAGAAAGGGCAGCTCCGGGTGGGTGAATCACCTTTAACGAATTCAAATCCTCTGCTTTAGGGAATTGGTTTAACAACAGCAAACCTCCTTCCAGTAAACAAAGCTAGTTCAGGAATGACACTTGTCGACGCTACGACACGGCAGGCCCTTTCGAGAGTACACACTCAGTCTGTTCGTCTGCGTCTTTTTGCATCATTTCCGTTCTATAAACTGGCTTTGAAAAACCTCTCGAAATTCGGATTTTACACAGTGTTCGGGTTATCGTATCGTGCCTTATCTCTGTCTACACATGCAGTGATGTGGCGTAGTCGCCTGGCATCCCCAAACATCGTTGCGCATTAATTTCAACCCTGGCGTTAGATACCGCCAAGTTGGAAAAAAAAGTGAAGAAGTGGAAGAGAAATGATGTATGTGTATAGGACGCGATTTAATCATCTCGAAATCTCATGAATCGTCGCGGTGTTCCCTAAAAGAGCGGCCATACTTCGCGGTTCGGTCCTTGGAACGCGCAGCCAAATCGTTTACTCGAGCGACTACGACCTGGGGTGGTCCATTGCCAATCAATGGACCACCGCAAAAGGAGATTTCACATAGGGTCGCGCTGATGCAGTGCATGAGCTCGGCCCAGTGATTGGCGGTAGAGCACCCACGTCGTGGTCGCATGGTGTAATCGCTCGAGCGACCCGGTCGCGTGGTTCTGATCGCGCAATATGAACCCGCTCTGAGGCAGTGTTCATACTTGCCTTTCGGGCTTCTAGGGAAATCAGCGTTTTGAGCAAATCAACGTTTTGGTGAACTGGTGTCTTGCCCGCTGATCGACACCCGTGCTTTTCTTTTCTCTCAGAACGCTCATTCGCTCAGCACGTTGGTTCTCCTAAAACACCGAGCTGCAAAGCATGAAGGCAATCCCACATGCGCGATTCGGACTTGCACAGGATTAGCACCAAACAAGCAGAACAAAACTTCTTGAACACAGCGAATCAAAATGATCCGAAAACTTCTTACCTGCTTCAATAGCGACTTAATATCTTGATGTTGTGGAAGTATCACAGGAACCTTCATAATAATCAGTTCTCGTTTTAGATTTCAACTTTCTGTAGGTATTCGCATGCTTTGAAGCTTCGTAAATTTGTCGTGAAAGTGGAAGAATGGGTGAAAACCAATTCAACCTAAAAATTATTGCTTAAATAGCAGCCGCTTTGAATATGGTGTGGTTATAAATGAACGGGCAATCGAGAATACGTAAGGTCATCAATATCTTGTTAGGATAAGAATGGTAGAGATGTCGATAAGGCTGCGTTTATACCTCGCGACAATGGAGAATCATGGAATTGGAGAGTCGAAGTTCAATCGATATGTATTTAAGGCTTTTCGCGAATTCGAATTATCTCCAAAAATATATCTCCCTTTTCGCGGATTCCCCATCTCACCGTGGTCTAAAAGCATAAGCGCAGCCTAAGCAAGCCAACAGAAGTAAAAAAAATAGATTCCTCTGAGCCATTCACGTTTTTTACGTTTTATTTTTTGCCAAAACATAACCTGCAACAAAAACCAGCTATTAACATAGGAAAATTCAGATTTGCCTGCTCTTCTCTATCCAAATTTTTCAAGAGATGGTTCATGAACGCATTGTTCTTGAGAACAGGTGATTAAAAAGAACAAAATCTTTGAAAAGAGCAGTTTTTCAATAAGAGAAGCGCTGAGTGATACCGCTTTCAAATGAGATTTAGGGAAGGATGGAGTAAAAGTTGAATGGGAGAAATCTGATGACGAAAAACAATAACGAAATAGTAAAAAGTAGCCTACTTCGGACCCTATTATCGATTTATCCTCATTATTATCTATTTTTCGGATATAGTTAAAAACAATATAACAGGAGAAAAAACAAAAAACGAAAAAACAAAAGAAAACATTTGGGGTATGGGCTTCAAAATAATATGAATTATTTATGCACGTGATCTTATTAGTGCCTGGGTCTGTGATTTCACGGGGCAAACACTATTGACATTTTGTCCAACTGCTTCTCATGACACGACGCCAAATATTTTCATTTATTCACAAAAAGCCCAGGGCACGTTTTGACGACCAATAGTCAGCGAAAAAAATCGAAGCAAAACCGGTCTTTCTGGTCGGTCTTCTATGCGGGACACCATACCCTCAGAAAGACATTTCTTGTTCACTCGAGCATCAATAGGAAGGCCGGAAATCCTCCCAGAGCCGGAAAATAAGTTACCAAGGTATCGAGTCTGAATCCTATATGGAGGTACTTTGTGCAGGAGTGACGGCTGTTATGGAGAAATGACGAGTAGTGATAAGGGCAGGATAGATATGAACGTTCATGCGTGAGAACACGAACTTTCGGGCTTTTGTTTTCATGCGCCTGCCTCCGATCAATTAGATTGTAAACAACAAGCTAGGCAGGAGGTAACAAAGGCGAGGGAAAACTAGAGAAAAAATGGACTTTAGGTTATATTAATTGTTGGTAAACATGAAGGACAGACAACAAATTGTACAAGACCAACAAGGAGAAAAAATGTAAACAAAAACTGAATGAGTGAAGAATTTATGAGAGAAACAATACAAAAAAGCGCGACGACCGGCCAGCGTACACCCTGCGTTTAGCTGCTGGCAAGTCGCCATCCATCGAATGGGCTAGGAATCGTCGTTGTTGAGTATCTGTTTGCGCCGCGTGAGTGCCGTCTCGATGCTGCTTGCACCGATCAGAACCTGCCATCTGTTCGCCCTCTACTTGACCCCAACCTGAACTGCTCGCAGAACATCTCCTTGATTCTCTTGGTCTGTTTGTTGGGCAATCGATCGGCGCCGTGCATCTCGTCCCGGCTCCGGGCTGAAATCAGGCCCCGTGGCGATTTTCGCGATCAATCACTCGATCTTGACGAGCGCTTGGGGTGTTGTGGACATCCTGTATCCCTAGGGCTATTCCTACTTTCCCTCATTGATGACCCTACAAGGAGAATCGCCTTATTTCCTGCTAAGTGCACATGCGGAACAGAACCTAATCCAGCTCCAGTTCGCTCCCCAAAAGTGCTTTCGCTGAGTAATGTTTTCACTAGTAATCGTTGTAGTTAATGACCATTGAAACTAACAAGCCAGGCCAGTAAAATAAAGAAGAGGAAAAGGGAACCTTGTTCTCCTCGTAAATATGCCCGTAGTCTCCTGAAACTTCTGAAGTGCAAACTTATCGGTATGGGTTAACTCACTGGAAACCGTGGGGGGCACTGCAGAAGAGAGTATCATAGAGTTTTGTGTTAGAGGGGCGTGGCACGATCGATACTTATGAGTAAAATGGGTAACTTATCAACCAATACAAGAGTACAGCTCATTCTCCCAAGCTTCTCAGGACATCTGTCTACTGCAAAGCGTCCTTACTCCTTCCTTGTGGCTTCCTCCTTACTTCTTTGTCTTCTCACCCTTCTCTATTTCCTGCCTTCAATTAATTGTTCAGCTACAAAATCGATGAGAAATTATCTCTGGACCCTTCAAGCAAGAGAACATTCAATTGACGAAGGCCTGTGACTTACCCTAGGGCCTCACGATCTGATTCTAAGCGCTTGAGCAGTCCCTAGACGAAGCTTGGTTCCTTTTTCAAGACGTACTTGTTTCTGCCTTTCCTCTCAGGACTATGTTTGCCTCTAATTACCGTAGTCATGGGTGCATCATCCGCTAGGAATTCATCACACTTTTTTTTACAATAATTTCGAATTGGTGATTACACTCGGTTGCATATGTTGCATTGTAGTCGGCCTGAAATTTCTGAGTTGGCTCGGAGAACTTTCTAGAAATTTCTCCTGACAGCGCTCGAGAGTGATGGTTGCTAGTTGTATGAGCATCGATTTCTATGACACAGTGCTATGTTGAAGCCGATTTTCCTCTTCCTGGGCCACATTATCAACAGTGCTAACTGTCAATCGCTGGGCAGCTACGAAATCTCTCAGCTGCTTCGATTCCTTTTTTCTGCAATGCTATCGACCATATAGACTTCTAGAATGTTCTCTGTGTTTTTTTTTGCGGTTTTTTTTCTCGACAGGGTGACTACAGTTATTATTTCCAGGGTTTCGGAAACGCTTTTCCAGTCTATCCTCGTTCTTGGATATTTTCATCTAGTCGACGTTGCTGAGTGAATACGGTAGAATGTCTGGCGAACATCATTGCGCTGCCACAAGCACTGTGAACAAGAAATGTGAATGCGAAGATGATTTGAGAGATTCCGATCGCCTCTGGACAGATTTTGAAGTATGTTTGGTCATATGATTTTTGTTACATGGGTGTTCTAAGTAGTTGGAAGCAGAGAAAGATATGAAGATCACCACCATACCCCTGATGCGAGCGGATCCTTTCAAGGAACGGCAACCAAAAATTCATAGATTCAGGTTTGAGTGTGACTAATGCCGTTTGGACGCGCTGAGTTTTGGCTGCGAACTCAATTTCAAAATGCCTAAATCACCAAATCCGCTGAAACCTTGTAAATAGAGGTGATCTAACATCCTAATTACGACTATCACATTCAATCTTGGTGCTAACGCTAATGGAGAACACTACGATTATCTGGGCTCCGCTTTAGCAGAGCCCAGATAATCGTAGTGTTCTCCATTAGCGTTAGCACCAAGATTGAATGTGATAGTCGTAATCAGGATGTCAGATCACCTCTATATACAAGTTTTCAGCAGATTTGGAAATCTAGGCACTTTAAAAATGAGCTCGCAGCCAAAACTCAGCTCGTCCAAACGGGCCGGACCGTCTGCGTTCATACCTTGCGACAGAGAATAATTGATGAAAAGAATTCGATACATATCGATCTGAAGAAGCAGAGTTGATGAAAAGGACTGGATGTATGAACCAGGAGAATTGAAGGATTTCGGAATTAGATCGTGCGGAGTCTAGTCGCGTGCTCCCTCACTGTCGCAAGAAATGAGCAGTGCCTTACAACTTGTAGATAATGCGTGAACTACGAGTGTCCGTTGCTGGAGGCATCTTGCTTTTTACACCGCGTTCTTACTTTGCGATACTGGAGAATACGAGAATGCGGACCTATCGGAACTATTGGTATTTATTTGGCGAATTGAGAGTGCAGGAGAATCGCACAATGCACACCAAAGGAGTGAATGGGAATGGATCGATTTCCCTATTCCCATGTTCGTCAGATCGATACTTATTTCCTTTGACGCATATTCTTCAATTCTCGTTGTCTTGAGTGTCGCAAAGTATCAACGTGACTTATTCACTGCCAAAAACATTTAGGCATTCATACAGACGACCTTGAAGAAGTGTTGGAATTACGTATATGTATCGATTGAGAAATAGCAGAATTGGTATAAATGCAGAATCTGCCGAAATGACGAACAGAGACATGATAGCGATTGACTCCATGGCCGGACTACTGTGAGAAATGCGGATTCTTCGGATTTTTGGCTTTTCTGCATTTCTGAAGAGTCGTCACTTGTTCATATTATGTCTTTTTTGCGCTTTCTGCGTTTCTCCAAATTCCCCGGTGCTTCGGATCGATATGCATACTTTCTTCATTCCGCAGTTTCGTCGCTCCTGCGACTCGTCGTGTATCATTGTGGCCTCACAGAGAAGTGTTTAAGTCCCAACTCCCGTCGTGAAGAATCGCAGTATCCGAGCAGAAGATAAGATGCATACAGATGAGGAAGAGTTCGCTATTTGCTAGTGGGTGGAGCCAATTGATTTGTCACCGACACTTTAAAGTCGTGGAATTTCCAGTTGGATACCTAAAGCTTCTTTTGTCGTCGCTTCGCAAATTACCCAAACTCTGGATGCTTTACATTTGCCAGTATGAACGGCACTAGGTACGTATCGATCAAACGGCTGAGCCCTCTCGACGTGTTGGAGGAGGTGAGGAGCGACTAGGAAGAGTCCTTGGCCACAGTGGTGTTTGTTGCTTTAACCACTAAAGTGAGGGAACTTGAGAGTCCTCAACCAACAATTTCAACTGCTAAACTATTTTGCTCTCCAGGCGAGTTTATTGAACGCCACAAACGAAGTAGTCTTGACAAATTTCATGGGAGGAGATATATGAGCTTGTGTAGGAATCATTCTCGGCTATCCTCTGGTTTGACCGCCAGTTACTCACGAGAAGGTTCACAGGAGACGTTTGAAGTTGGAAAAAAAAGCGGCAATGTCTCCTCAATCTCCGATGTTGCTTGATTGTGCAAAGCCTCGTTAAAGCACAGCAGATGATTATTCCCGACGCGGACTATTATCACATCTACTTATTGTCAAATAAAATGATTCCCACCAGTGTGCCAGATACTTGATTGTGCTCACACTCTATATCTTGGAGAGGGCATGGCTGGGTGCTTCATTTGAACTGTGGCCGAGTGTTTTGGCAGGATATTTCAATTTGGGACAGTTGTAATTATGTCTTTTTCAATTCAACAAAGGATGTTAGCTACTGCAAATGGAACTATCCCAGGAAAACCTTTTATGCCATGTCCATGTGGAGTACGGAGCCATGCCTCCTCCCGTCTTGGGATATGGAATTTATATTGAGTCTGACAAAAGCCAACTTTTGAGCTGGTCTGCCTGTTGTCAACTACTTCGGTAATTCTATGGGTTCCATACGAGTTATTTCCTATCACTGTTTCAGCACTGCGCACAACAAGTGTCGAGGCTCTACCGCGATCCCACTTGGAAGTCACTCCAGACAGCTGCTGCGTCTACAACACAACTCTATAAAGTTAGTTTCAACACTGGAAGTTAATCGAGATTCATCTCTTGTACCCAAAGTATACGCAAAGTAATGCTATTTTCGAATCCCAACTTTAAGAGTTCTATTGACGTGCATCGACGTGGATTTGAGAAGGGTTTCCGAGCTGGCCGCATAAGTTTGGCAAAGGTGGCCTTTGATTAGTGTTACCAGTTATTTATTGTTTTTCACAAAGCTGTTAAGGAGGTGATGACTGCTTTGACCAGCGGATCAGCAACTGATTTAAATAGTCTATTCGAAATGCTTTATGCAAATGTTCGTATGTCTTCTACTGACGATGGTCAACGTATGGGTCCACCGCC